TTTTTCTTGTTTTTCGAAAGATTTTCTTTGCAGGAACTTCAAATTGGTCCGCTGACTATTGGTGGTATACAGCTGGAATCGGTGTAGTAGTGAAGTCGGACGACACTTCTCAGCAATCCTTTATAGTTAATCAATTCCAACAGGTGGGTAAGATAAGCTGGGCAAGTTTAGCTAAAGTTTAAAAAGAGATTTCGAATTTTTCAATCTCACATATGACACGATTTAATTCAGATCTTCGATAGAGACTGGAATTCGGATTATACCATTCCTCTATCTTATTTCGATAATAATGGAAAATGGACGAATAAAACAGGAACGTTATGACAGATAGGAGCCGTTATATAATAATACCTTAATACAATAGCATGCAAATTATTTTAAATAAAGTATTTTACTATTTCTTCCCAAAAATTGGCTGATTCTTATTGAATATTAAACAAATGGTAAGAGATTGAAACCATAAGCTGGTAGAAAATCAACGAATCAGTGCAAAAATTAAGAAGATTTAGGAAATTTGAGAAGAAGAAACATTTGCTCAACCCAGGTATAACTTGACTAAACAGACTTATGACAACCATACTGGAAATTAAAGTGGAAACTAAGGTTATAACTTTGACTACAACCCACCAATGACAGCGCAGCATCTTCTTCATAGAGAAGCAGTCGAAATAGATTTGTTTTTTAAGTGTTAAAGTAATCAGCGGCGACAGGAGATTGTGACAAATAGAGTAGATTGAACTTTGAACTATAAGTTAGTTTTATGGTTCTTCAAATTTTGAGGGTGAGAAAATCGAAAATGCGACTAAAAAAATCATTGCAATTAGAGCTTGTCCTAATATAACATCTATGTCTATGAGGCATCTTTAGGCAGTAGTGTACCCTTTTATTGAACTCTAAGCTTAGCTTCTTTCAGATACTGCTTTAAAAACAGAAATGTTTATGGTTTGTATATATTAGCTGAAAAAATAAATGATATATGAATAGAAATTATACTAAAAAAATATCTGATTGTCATTGCATTTAAAAAATTAGTATTACTACTTCTAGTCTTTCACATCGTACTATTCAAGATGAGATCAGATGAGATCGAAAATCTACGTTGAGGATGAGCTATGGCTTGTCCAAATATAGGTGGTAATTACAGAAGATACTTTCATGAAATTCCAAGTTCTTTTCTTCGCTAGAAGAAGGTGCAGTGATAACTAAAATGCGAAAGGATAGCCTCAAACGATTGCTATCTGACGGCTGAAAATAGGTTTACTCTGCGATCTTCCTGCAATCTGACTTATACAATGTTTTGTGAATTTCGACGCGAGAGTTATTTTTGGCATCCTGAATTTTTGAA